AGAAGGTAAAGAGAACCATTCTTTTGTGAGTACATTTATAGGTGAGCATTCCCTTTGGTTGATATCGTCTCAGGCTCTATCAGAGAGCTGCACGAGTTGTATTGCTGATTTAGTTCTACCAGTTGACACGAGTACATCACTTAGTCTGAGCGGCTCTTAACTAGAAGTTCGACTGAATAAATCCTAATAATGTAAAAAAATTTCAAGGGAAATTCTACATTAATGAAAGGCGACTTTTCTACTAAATGACTCGGTAGCCTTTTCTTGAATGTGAATAGAACTTAAATTTTTTTGGAATTTGCCTTGCTGTAGTTACCTTTTCTATGGCACCTACTTCCTAGCTATGTTAGTTGGATCAGTTAAGAACGCCTCACTTTTTCGAAAATTTACTTTGAATTTGATCCGTTTTGGCGTGTGCGACTTAAGCGAACCGATAAGGTGTCATTCAAGTCTTCCTGTTTCCTTGATTGAAACGTGATGTTTACAAAAGTCGCCTCGATAGTTAAGATAGAGTTAATATACATGGCTGTGGTATTTGTTTTTTGCTGAGTTCCGTAGTTTTTTGTAAACTGTCCTCCAAAGTTGTCTGAAATTAAAGTCTTGAAAAGTGTCACGACAAGCCTTCGCTCGGGTGAAATTTAATTTCCGTAAAACTCTGAAAAATAAAGAGATCCGATCAAACGGATTGTGGTTTTAGTGTAGGTACATGAATGTCTTACAACACACAAGAAATGAGCGAATTCCGTGTCTCAAGCAACATCAACCGGACCGCTCTTACAGAGACACTCTCTTAATTCATAAATAATTTGTAATTCTAATGACTTTTCTAACCAAAACACGCAGACCGAAAATTACCGACACCGAGCTCCACGTTCAGTTTCGTTAATTAACAAACGAAGGAAGATGGCAAGGTTAACGCAGATTTTAAAAATTTTGGTTATAACAATGGAAAGATGTAAACCGTTAGCGGTAAACTGTCCAACATTTTAACTGTTAGCCGTCAAAGCCGTCACCCATTGAGAGCCGCTGGTTTTGCCAGTAAAAGCAGAAAACAAGGAACACAAACACAGATAAATTTTTCTGCTGTTTTACTTTAGTTATGTATTAATTCATAAAAATTTACTTATTTATTAATTAATTCATCCATTAGTCGACGGTCCTTTTTTACTGCATCAAGAATCGCTTTCGCTAGCCTGTGGTCCGTTAGCTCAGTCGGCAGAGCGTGGTGCTGATAACGCCTAGGTCGTGAGCTCAAGCCTCACACGGACCAGTTTAAAACAAAATTTACCCATCGCAAATCGGATTTTTCTCTCTTTTTTTATTTTCATTTAAGGAAACATTGAAGGATCTAAAAGAGTTCAAAATTTCTAAAAAATATCCTTCGATCCAGAATATACATGACATGACATACATGACAGCTAAAGAAATATGTTTTTCGTCTTGTCACGAGGGTGGGACAGAGAAAAAATTCTGAGTCCCCAAGAGGAATCGACCCTCAGACCTTCGGATTCCGCGCTCCGATGCTCTACCACTGAGACACAGAGACTATATGGTGAGCGAGGTCTATTACGAAGTTCACATAACACCCGTCCTGCATACTGCTGGGACCAGCAATGTCGATAGTTTGTAAATAAAATGAGAGAGATGGTAAGTTTTGAGCTTGTAAAGAGGGATACGTGACAACTTTTCAAATTCTTACTTCAGAAATAGCAACTACAACAACGATAAAACAAATGGTTACATCCAGCCGTACTTTACAAACAATTGTTTGCATCAATTAGCAAGTTTTCCAGGTCCAAAAACAAAAACAACTTGCCGAATTACTCGAGCCTATTTTCTTTAAAAGTTGGAATTTTTTAAAATATGTATATATGCAAAAGAAATGCATAGAATTTAGTAGGGGTTTTAAATCAACACACTCTGTGAGGGTTGAAAAATATCTCGTCACATTTCCGATTGATTAGACAAAAAACTTAAAATTTGCCATTGAAGTATTTTATAAACATAGCAAATGGAATAATTAAGATTATTTTGCTATCCGAAAGAGTAGAGGCTAGGTTGACAAATGAGGTATTACACACCCCATAAGATTTACAAAAATTACTCCAACTGGCTCGAAACTCGACACAGGTATGGAGTGACACACTTTCCTACTTTTGAATAGTCGTACAACTTCACCGACAGTTAAAGCTGTGAGAATAGCTAAAGCTAAACTAAGGCTTTTATGAGAACTCGAAACCGTAATATTTAGATCTCTATTGGCAGCCCATTTTCTATCAATATACTTATGAGATAAAGGTATACTTGTTCTTTGGCCTAAACCGAATCTCTTTGCTTTTGTACTGAAGGTGAATTTATTTCACACCTGTAACGGAGTTTTTCGGACCCTTAACTTTTCTATTTTGATCCTCGTATAGAGAAAATAAAAACGTTTGCCGTAAAAGTTGGAAAGAAATTATCTTGAAACTTGTAACAATCATTTCTCCGAAGTTTTTCGATAAAACTTGGAAAAAAACGCTTTTACGTTCTCACTTAGCAACATCCAAGAGGGGCCTTGTCTGTTCGTCCCTGGAGCAA